GTTGCAGATTGCACGAGCAAATCTAAATGCGCGTGTTGTTCGTACACGAGACCAAGAGTATCAGTTAGCCTTTTTTTTTTTTTTAGGAGTGTATGTAGGTAATTGATCCTAACTCAATCAGTAAAAGAAAACTTTAGCACTTTTAAATAATGAGCAGGTTTATTTTAATTATTATTACATTAATAAACTATTTTCCTAGTAAGTTTTGGAATCCGTTTTTTGCATGCATATTAATTTCTTAGCATAATATTCCAGCTTCAAGGTAGAGAGAAAGATAATTATATAGCTTTGTTCTGAAATCTGAGCTGATGTATTACAGCCTGGCACCCAATCAAACCTCCATTGTGTTGTAAAGAAGCGTCTCCTGCTTTGTTTTTAGTAACATTCAAAACACCTCAAGGAGAATACGGCTGTACTGTAGCCATGCAACAGACCTAACAGGGGGGGGAGATGGAGTAGTGGATTCAAATATCTAAAACTCCAATCAGAATACGCAGGAGTTTGTGCAGTGAACACACATTTAAACACTATTCAATGCCCATGTTACACATAGATATAAAATAATTATTGAAATAGCAATATTATTCACAAACTGTAAAGTTGCCACAAATCAGTCCATATTATTCAAAACGAATATATAATTAAACTGTAAGTGTGACCACACACATAATTACCATTCAAAATTAAATGTTATATAGGCTAGGCCTATTTGGGTGGCCTACCAGTCCGCAATTTTAAAACGTTAATAAACAAGCATCTAAGCATTACGACTACATAATAATAATAAATAATAAACTAAGCTTCTTTGTCACTATAAATAAGTGTATCTTTAAAAATAGCTGCCAAAAAAGTTCCTTGGGTGTTACGGACAATGTCACGTGACACACGTGGGGGAGTGGAGGTCGCTTAACCTCAAAGTGAAATTTATGGTAGATTGTGTAGGGTGAGTTCAGAAAAAGTGGAATAGGCCTAGTTCTCAAAGTAGTTTTTTGATCAGTTTTTCATGTAAACACCAGGAACCAATCAAATGCAGTAACTAACAATTGCCAGTAAGTTTGAATGAAATGCTATGCCTGTGTTCATTACAATCAGCACATTTAAGTTATATTACTCCAGGGTTTATGGCATCACAAAAAAAAAAAAAATTGTATTCTGTATTCACATTGTATTCAGAACTGTATTCACATTGGCCTACAGCTAATTAGACATGAGTGTTGGTCAGTTTTATCCTGGAAGTATGTATGAATCTAAAATTCACGATTTAGTAATCAAAATAGTTCTTACTTCATTGCAGTAACATTCCTGTAAACATCAAATGCAATGTTGACAAGGTTCTGCGGTAAAATGCTTACAAATATAGCCTATTATAATTTTATTCTATAGCTATAAAACGTTTTCCCAGCGGTTATGAATCGAATAGTTTTATGGTAATACATTTGTGGGCTATGTGAGAAATAAAATTTGTCCTTTAAACGTCCCCAGTTCCATGACCCTGGACATTAATGAACTTACGTAAGACGTATAGCCTATGACCCGGGATATTTATTCAGCTTCGAGATTCTGTTCGGTCTCTCGTGGATCCATCATTTGCTCCTCTCGCGATAATGAGTCCCGATATATTAGGAGCAAACACGAGCACTCGCCCATTTGAAGGGGCGTCGCTGGGCTTCTTACAGGGTCCTTTGGTGGTGAGATTCAGAAGATAGGACATCATGTCTGACGCGGTGACCAGCTTCTTGAAGGATTTCTTGGCCGGTGGTGTGGCCGCTGCCATCTCCAAGACAGCTGTGGCCCCCATTGAAAGAGTCAAACTGTTATTGCAGGTACGTTTTAAAATCAGGATAAAGAAAGAATAATTATTCACAGTTATATCAAATAGCTCAAAAAAAGTTGCATGTGAGTCACAGCTGCATAGATTAAAAAGAGGGAGCCATGAACTTGCATTACAAGTTTTTAGTAAATTAATCAATTAAACATAGTAGACTAACCAAAAGTAAGGGTTTCACTGATAATGCATATACAATTTATGGCGCTGTCCATGGTGCTACTTTATAAAGCGTTTCTAAGAACTGTCAAAAAGTGTAATTTCAGTCCGTTTAATTAAAGTTAAATTAATGTTACTTTTCATTTAAGTAGTGCATGTCCCCAAAAAATTGTAAACACTACTACTATTAATAATAACACATTTAAATATTTGACCTTGACGATTTCCGTCACTCTTTCCATCAGTGCCAGAGTTCATAAAGGCCAATCATGTGTGTTAAGATCGGGACTGTGAGGAGCAGCGATATTTGGTGTAAGTTTAAAGATAAAAATAGTCTGGAGGCTGCAACCCAACACTCAAACCCCGCGCACAAGTGGGGTGTGACGCCAAGTGCAGCTCGCGCACGTGGTCCGGCTGATCCCTGAGTGTAAAGAATTAAACTCTGAACCATTTTTATTTCAAATCAGAGACAGCTTTTGGCATTTCCCATACAAGATGATCATGCAGCACTGACACATAACCATAAATTAAATCTCGATAATCCACAACATATTCCAAAATTCATATATGATGTGATCACAATGCTATAAAGTGTGCCATCTTCCATTTACCAATCCACCTGCTGCTTCACAGGTCCAGCATGCCAGCAAACAGATCACAGTTGACAAACAGTACAAAGGCATCATCGACTGCGTAGTGAGAATTCCCAAAGAGCAGGGATTCCTGTCCTTCTGGAGAGGCAACCTCGCCAACGTCATCAGATACTTCCCCACACAAGCCCTCAACTTTGCCTTCAAGGACAAGTACAAGAAGATCTTCCTTGGAGGAGTGGACCAGAAGACCCAGTTCTGGCGTTACTTTGCTGGTAACCTGGCCTCTGGCGGTGCCGCCGGCGCCACCTCTCTGTGCTTCGTCTACCCTCTCGACTTCGCCAGAACAAGGCTTGCTGCTGATATCGGCAAAGGCACAGCGGAGAGAGAGTTCACTGGTCTTGGGAACTGCCTTTCCAAGATCTTCAAGTCTGATGGTATTAGGGGTCTCTACCTCGGCTTCAACGTGTCTGTCCAGGGCATTATTATCTACAGAGCTGCTTACTTCGGTGTCTATGATACAGCTAAAGGTAAGCAACTGATGGGAAACATCTGACGTGGACAAAACAAACTGTTTGTCAAATACACCTCAATGACATTGCCTAACTCTGTCACTCAGGTATGCTCCCAGACCCCAAGAACACGCACATTGTCATCAGCTGGATGATTGCCCAGACCGTCACAGCGGCCGCCGGTATCATTTCATATCCCTTCGACACCGTCAGACGTCGTATGATGATGCAGTCCGGACGCAAAGGAGGTAGGCCAAGGGATCAAGCAGTTTGGCACAAACTTTTTTTGTATGAAAATAAATGCTGCTTGACTATCAGTCTAACGCACACTTTTCTTTCCCAAAAGCTGACATTATGTACAAGGGCACAGTCGACTGTTGGAAGAAGATCACCAAGGATGAGGGAGCCAAAGCTTTCTTCAAGGGTGCCTGGTCTAACGTGCTCAGAGGCATGGGTGGCGCTTTTGTGCTGGTCCTGTACGACGAGATCAAGAAGTACACATAAACATTCTTCATCCATCATGTCCATCCCACCAAAGGAAACCCTGAGCGTTGTGTATGTCTTAATTGTGTGGAGTGTTAACAACCAGGGAGAAATAAGTGTACTTAGCCAAGCTGGCCCTGGGGTGGACTGAGATCATGTGATTGTAGGTGGCCACTGCAGCCTCCACCCCAACACTTGTAAATATATTTAAATCTACCTACTGCCCCTCAGTTTTAGATGACTTTCAGTCTGGTCAGGCTGAAAGTGATTTTTTTCTCATTTATTTATTTGAATCAATCCATAATGTTCTACAGTGGCTCCTCTCTTCTGTAGCTAGCTGAACACATTTATTCCCGGACTGGACTGAAGCAAGTGGCTGTACACTGGAAAGCTGACTGTTCTTGTGGTGTATTCCACCTTATGAGTTCTTTTAATAAGAATAAAGCTGAAAATACAACTTCTTGGTGCTTGTGGTTTCTTTCTGCGACATTATTATACTTTTCGCCATCAGATTTTACAAATTTAATATAGCCAAGTCAAAAGATTTGTGTCAGCTCTGTAATGGTAATGAACTCCTATTAATTCAAATTCCTTCACAAACATTTACATGAACAGAATTTATGAATACCTGTTGAAATGTCATCAGTCTCATATTACACAATATACAGTACATACACTATCGTTCAAAGTTTGGGGACAGTGAGATTTTTTCAAAGAAATCAGTACTTCTATTCATCAAGGATGCATTAAATTATTCAAAAATAAATTTTCTATTCATCAAAGAATCCAGTATCACGGTTTTCCCAAAAATATTAAGCAGAACAACTGTTTTTAACACTGACAATAATAAAAAATTGTTACTTGAGAACCAAATCAGCATTTTAGAAAGATTTCTGAAGAATCACATGGCACTGAAGACTGGAGTAATGGCTACTGAAAATTCAGCTTTGCCATCATAAAAATAATTGACTTTTAGTTAGTTGTCTCAAATAGTAATAATATTTCATAATATTATTGTTTTTACTGTATTTTTGATCAAATAAATGCAGCCTTGGTGAGCCTAAGAAACTTCTTTTACATTAGAAACATTAAAATATCTTACCAACCGCAAACAGTAGTGTATAACTATCACAATATCATAATATAATATTGTAATACAACAGAGCATAAAATTATAATATTTTATATTAAAACATTAATATAAGATTACAAATTCCTTAAAAAAGTAAATAAATCATTACTTAATGTTGAATGTGCATTAAATAATGATCTGCAAAGAAAAATATTATGTAATGTTTTTTAACTGCATTAAAGTGTCATAATACTTTTATCATAGTGATAGCCAAGTAAAAGCCAGTAACAGTAACTAGTTACTGCAATGTGAGTAAAACAACATAACAGAGTATTCCTCAAAAACTACTACTATGCCAGTCTGTGCTCTTGCATAATTAGCTTGTTAGTCTGCCATGTGTCAGCAAGTGTCAGTCAGCCTTTTCAAAAGCACTTTAGGAGTGACAGGTGAATAACTAGAATTGTTACATTCATTGTAACAGACGGGACACTGTCTGTGCATGTGTGTCACTTCATATCAGCATGCCAAGTATTCAAGTGTCATACAGCTGGGTCAATAAACAAATCACTTTTACTTTCCGAAAAATGTAACACTGAAAATTACCATAACTAATAAAGCTTTATTTCACATTAGACTTAGTTTCTGACAGATGTGTCACGCAATTAATTATTCTGATAACCGCAGCAATGGCTTTACAATACACCGACCGCTTAAACATACATATAGTCTTTTTGCTGTCTGTCACATATAGGCACTAGTTTACTTTTGAATGTCTCAGAAAATGGATGGTCACACTTTATGGTCCCGAGCAGTGTTGATTGAATTAATTTAGTCTCTTTCCATATCTAAAAATTACATATATAAAAAAAAGCCGCACACTGTCAAATTATTTAGCAGATTGTTGAGCTGTGTAGATTTTCTTACAAGTATTTTAATTTATTTCACTCCACACCTGGACAAATTACCATGAGCTCAAGCTGTTTTGAAACATTTATCCAGAATGTGTTGTGTTGAGACCTGCAGTCATATTTTCTACTTACAGTCAGAGCAGAACATGTAAGTGAAAATGTTGGGGGTAGAGAAAGAGAAGGAAAAAATATGAGGATCAGGACCATTCAGGCCGTGGTGTTGTTCTGCTGAGTTTAGCGGTTTCCGGTCTAGATTTGTGAGGACTACTGCCAGGTCTTGAAGTCCTTCCTGTATTCATGGAAAGACAAGAGTTGTGTTACTGGTACTAAGATACCTAACCTAATAGATAACCTAACCTAACCTAATAGACTAAGATACCTAACTGGCCTACCTAACAAATATATTATATAAAAGGATCCAGGAGTACAAAACATTACATACAGGCAAAGCACATCACAAATGGCAGTAGAGTACATGACTCAAAATGTTATATTGGAATTGGAAAAAAAGATATGTCTTAAAGAAAGAATATTTATTCTCAGAGCAGAAAAATGAATGCAAACAGAATGCACTATATTATATATTTTAAGCACTAAAGAATGCAGGATATTTCTATATTATATGTGACCCTGGACCACAAAACCATAAGGGTCAATTTTTTTGAAAATGAGATTTATACATCATCTGACAGCCGAATAAATAAGCTTTCTATTGATGTATGGTTTGTTAGGATAGGACAATATTTGGCAGAGATACAACTATTTGAATATCTGGAATCTGAGGGTGCAAAAAAATCTAAATACTGAGAAAATCGCCTTTAAAGTTGTCCAAATGAAGTGCTTAGCAATGCATATTACTAATCAAAAATTAAGTTTTGATATATTTACGGTAAGAAATTTACAAAATATCTTCATGGAACATGATCTTTACTTAATATCCTAATGATTTTTGGCATAAAAGAAAGATAATTTTGAACCAAAATTTTGTTTTTTTGACTATTGCTACAAATATACCCCAGCGACTTAAGACTGGTTTTGTGCTCCAGGGTCACATATGAGATATACATTTTAATCATCATTAGCCTAAGAAATTTGTTTTTCAACACGCAGCTGAATTTGGAATAATGTAATAGAAATGACGTGCAGAAAACTGAACATACTCTCTTCATTTAAAGTGCTTCATACAAACTATGGCTTAAATGTGTATGTTGTGTGTAAGAAAGTACCAGATGTTTTGCTGGACTTGAGTTTGACTGGTGGAATAGCTGTATTGTGTGTTCCCAGGTATCGGCACTGCCGCTGGTAATCAGCTAGTTGTTCATCTCGGGTCATGCCAGGAGTGGGCTTCACAGATTCTAGACGCTTCAGGAACGCCTGAAACCACACATATTACACATACAATAACATACATGTCCAAAAGAAAAACCCTTTTGAAGTAGTGAATATTTTGCTGGCAACAAATCAATTGATTCATTAAAATTATTGGTTGAGGATACTTTCTATTAAACCTTGTGTTATGCAGTAATCACAGCCAGGTCACTTTCTGAACTGAATTCAACATATGAGCATACTGAATTACAACATAAATGTATTATTATTATTAGCAGGCTGGCCAAGATTGCGTTCATTTAGCTTGGCAAAATAATTGTTGCATAATAATTGTTGAAAAAAACAACAACAAAAAAAAGACAGATGAAGAAAATTATGTTAATGACAATGTGTAATAAATTAAATTAAAGTTACAAATTTACATACAATTAAAAAGTACAATTCAATTAATTATTATTACTAATGAATACTTTTATACTGTATAACATTTTTACCATTTATAATTAATAATAATAACAATACTACTTTTTTGCATTACAGTAATGAGAATTTGGGAGAAATGTGTGCTTAATTGTCACAAAAATACCACAAAGGTCCTTAAATAGACTTTATTTTAGCAAAACATTTTACCTTTTTCATTTTTTTAGGGTTGAAATATGACAATTTAAAATTTCTTGACATATTTTGTGATTTATCCTAAATACTAAAATCTTTTGGACATCTATAAAGTCATATTAACTAGCCTCAAACAGAATAACCAAGAGAGTAGTGTGCCTACAACTATGCACTCTGAAAAGCCACAGTGAGCCATTGAGAGTAAAAATAACCAGTGCACAAGGATCAGAATGTCACAGGCTGTCATGCCTCCGTACGTCGGTACAAACAGCCCTTTGGAAACCTCTCAGTAAGCAAAACCCATGAAAAAAGTTGGGACTGGAAATAGAGTAAAGGTGAAGTTAGAGGACAGCTCGCTCACTGCTCTTAAAGAAAGAGAGTGGCTGTCTTGTACTCTTTCTTGTGTTCCAGCATTAGTTGCTAGGCAGTAAAACGCTAACACACGAGTCACAGCTCGTATTCCCTGCTTCTACTGATTAAGGGGTATTTTATTTCTATTTTATTCAATAAAAACTGACAGAGAGGAGGGTCTGACTAGCTAAGGAGCTGTGAGGTCTGTAAAGATGGCCGAAAGAGAGAGAGAGAGCGAGAGATTATGCATGTGTAACAGTGAGCAAGTGAGGTTCAGAGAGAACTACAGTATCCCTTTAAATTATACAGTATTTTATTGCAAGGGGAAAAAAAGGAATAGAGTTTGCATAATGCGTTCTCTATCACTGGAGCTAGGGGGTGAATTCAGAATAATGTAAGTCCAGCATGTGTGGAAAACTACGTCCACCTGTCTCTTCTCGTCTCAGTCAGGTGGTAACTGTCTCTCTGCTTTTACTGGCTGTGGCTGCCAGCGCCCCTACCACATGCACACACACTTTCACAGAATACTAAAATAAACACTCTGTCAGAACACTATTACATCAATGAATAATAGTAGAAAAACAGAATCCAAAAATACACTACCATTCAAAGTCTTTTTTTTTTTAAAGTCTCTTATGCTCATCAAGTCTGCATTTATGCAATTAATGTAATTAATTCCTGTGATGGCAAAGCTGAATTTTCAGCAGCCATTAGACTCTTCTGTGTCACACGATCCTTCAGAAATCATTTAAATATGTTGATTTTGTAGTCAAGAAACATTTCTTATTATTAATCTTAAAGGGTTAGTTCACCCAAAAATTATAATACTGTAATTAATTAATCACTCTCATGTCGTTCCAAACCCTTAAGAACTTCGATCATCTTCGGAACACAAATTAAGATATTTTTGATTATGTCCGAGAGCTTTCTGACCCTCCATAGACAACTACCACGTTCAAGGCCCAGGAGGTAATAAGGCATCATTAAAATGGTCCATGTGACATCAACGGTTCAACCTTAATTTTATGAAGCTACAAGAATACTTTTTGTGCACAAAGAAAATAAAAATAACAACTTTAACAATTTCTTCCAAGTTCCAAGACGCATGCGTGTGGTGCTGCTGACACAGGAGCCAGCGTTCTGATGTAGAACCCGGATGCGCTGAGCTTGTTTACAAGCAGAGAAACGCACATGCATGCGTCGTGGTACTCTTGTGAACACGAGTCGAAGACTGACACAAAAGAGAAGAAATTGTGGAATAAAGTTGCTATTTTTGTTTTCTTTCTGAACAAAAAATATTCTCGTAGCTTCATTAAAATTAAGGTTGAACCACTGATGTCACATGGACTATTTTAAAAAGTCTGTTTTTTTTTTCTAGGCTTGTTTGTTTATTCTACAACGCTCAGTCCCTTCTGCTATGAACGTTCTTATGATTTCCTGGTTTTATGAAGCCCCTCCCTCAGAAATACACAAAGGGCTTAGATTGGTTAGCTGGTCCAGTGTGTTGTGAATCGCTAAACCACCTAGTACAGTCCAAAAACGTCACATCCCTCACATCAGCGGCATGTGCTCCGGTTATATTGTAAACAATGACGTTGTCAATATTGCTTATCAATTTGACCCCGAATGAGACCCAGAGAATATTAGTGAAGAGGATCACGCAGAACCTGTGCAAGCAAGCATGTTTCAGAATAGTATGTTTTTTTTATCTGTTGTTGTCTCATACTTTTAGATACGCTGTTATTTGTAAATGCTACTGCTTATGTTAGCTTCTAATATACAGTTTTATCCAGATTAAAGCTGTAATTTAGCAGAATACATGACTGCGTTGTAGCATTTTTGTAAAGTAATTATTTATTTTGTAACAGTAAGAAGTGTTTGCCAGCAAGTACTGTTCGCTACCATGGCAACCACGTGCTTCTCAGATGTTTAACGCTTCTCGTAGCTATGTGAAAAATATCTGTCTGACTATACACAAAATGTATAATTGGAACACAGTTCATTGATGGAGCTGAGCTGATAATCTGAATGAGAGAGAGAGAGAGATGCAGAGCATGTGCAGAGTAGGGCGACGCTGGAACAGGATTAAGAACATTGCTTTAGAACATTGATTTTGAAACTTGTGAATCCATTAGAATCGTTACAAGACAGAATCGTGATTCATATATGAATAGATTTTTTCGTGCACCCCTAGTTTTGACAGCATGGCAACAACACTTCCTCTTCTCTAAAGCAGCGCAACATGGCCTCACCCCCTTTGTTGCATATTCCCGGGGGCAGGGTTTATGTAAATTTCTGGGTTTGTGATATCAGCAACCAGGGAAGTAGCTCGTTGTAGCCCCTACCAGCTGTATTTGTAGGCATTAAACTGCCAGAATTTTATAAGACAATATCTCCGTTTGCATTGAACTTTCAGTGTTGTAACTTTGCAGATATTGTTTATGCTCAAACAGCAACATTACACACTAACTAACATTAAAAAAGTGAAATCAAAAACCAACCACCCCTTTAACAATGTTCAACACCCCTAGAACATTGCTGTCTATAGAGGGTCAGAAAGTACTCAAGATTTCATCAAAAATTTGAGTTCCGAAGACGGACAAAGATCTTACGGGTTTGCAACGAGATGAGGGAGTAATTAATGACAGAATTTTCATTTTTGAGTGAACTACCAATTTAAAAAAAGTTGTGCTGCTTTATATTTTTGTGGAAATCTTTGATGAATAGAAAGTTCTCAAGAACAGCCTTTTTTGTAAAATTATGTTTTTGTAAAATGTTGTTTTGTAAGACAAATATTTACTGTCACTTTTGATCAACTGAATGCATCCTTGCTGAACAAAGTATACTTTAAATAATTTGTAAAAAAAAATCTTTCAAAAAAAAAACTTTTGAATGGTGGTGTACATGCATATGCTCAACAACAGCACACTCTAATATAGAATCTCTTGCTTGACTGAGGCTGACAAATAATTGAAGTTTCTCTCTTATAATAAGAGTTGCTCTCAGTGTGATTCAAGTCTAATCTAATGTTAAGAGAGGGCGTCACTGCATAACTAAAAAGAAGGGGAATAGCTACCTCTAGTGGAGGGAGAGAAAATATTTTCCTGTTACATTAAATAAAAGACTGACACTGACCAGGTTTTCCTTCTGAATTCGCTCTTGCTCTCGTTGTCTGTTGAGGGTGTTGTGGTAAAGGCGTATAGGTGGTGCACTACTCCTGCGACTGCTGGTTTTGGAGCAGGCAGAGCTGTCGCTACGTGAACGTGCCGATGACCGGGACAGTTCACATAATAGCCGCTGGTTCTCCCGGTCGATCTCCCGTACCTCTTTATTTGTGAAGGAATAGTTCTTACGGCTGCTGCCAACACTGCCAGGGCTGGAGACCATAAGTACTCTGTTTAATTGTTTCTCTACTTTTAAAAACACTGCAAGGGAGAGAAAGAGACTCTTAAGAAACAGCCACAACATCATCAACAACAACAAAAACATCTCAATTCACGGCACAAACCTGGTCCATCCTCTCCTTCGGAACTTATACTGTCCTGAGCACCCGAAACATCATTCGCAACCATCTTCTCAGTAACACTGGGCTGTTGTTGCTGTTGAACATCTGTTGCCACAGGTTCAGAGGGCAGAACCACATCAATGGACTGGGAAGGACTAACATTTGGTGTCGAGAGAGGGGTAACATCAGTAACTGTGTCTTCAGATTCTGCCGTTTCTTTTTGTTGTTCTTCCTGGTAAGCTGAACCGACCCGCTGATGTTTTACAGGTGATTTCTGAGATTGAAAAGAGCTTCTCTCTTCACTACTGTGGGAGGACTCAGGGTCAGATGAGGAGGAATAGCTACGGCTCAGCTTGTGGAATTTTCCAGCAGATTTTTTAGGTGTTCCGTGGGACAATACCTTATGTTTCATTGATCGCGTGACTGGCGATCTCATATCCTCCTCACTTTCATCGTCACTACGATGGTATCCATCATCGTCGCTGTTAACACTAACATTGGTTCTACTGAGTTTAAAATCATCATCCAGCTCTCTTTCCTCATCAGATGAGTATGAATGCAGACTAGATCCTTCATCTGATTGGCTGTTGTTCACAGTCTCTGGGCTTTTGGCACTTGGGAGTGATGAAGAGCCTTTGAAAAATCCATCTCTACTTTGTCGCTCTCTTTCATATTTTGTCTCTTCACTTTGCCCCTTGCTGCCCCGGTTTGAATCATCCTCCAGTTTGGCTTCATCTTTACTGTTCCTTACACTTTGAGCTTCACTTCCTATCTGATCCACTGAAACATGGGTTTCTTTACCGGTTTTCTCATCTTGTCTTTCCGTGGCCTTCTGTTTATTGAGCTGCCCATCCTCAGAACCAAGTCCACTAGCTTCACAGTCACTGTCAAAGAACGAGTGGTCCACTTCTCCCTCTAGCTCTTTGGGGCTGTACATTTCTGAAGTGTGTCTTCCAAATATGCCCTCATTCAATGGAACCTGAATGGAAAAAGAAAAAGTTGTTGCAGTGAAAATAAATAAATAAAATTACTACCAACAACTCTGATAATGCTTCACGCAAGTGGAAAAATGAATTGTCTGAACAACTTCTATATTTTCTAGAGCAGTGGTTCTTAACCAGGGGCCAACAATGGGCTCTCACCAAACTAAGAAGGAGGCCTCAAGATAACGTAAAATAAAATAAAAAAAGCCAAAGAAGAAAAATAAAAGTCTATGAATCACTATATTTGTTATTTTTAATTCACCTCAACAGCCGTTCCTACTGCCGATAATTTTTTTTTATATATATTTAAAATAATTATTTTATAAAAAAATTTCTAGCTATGCTAAGTTCTATTTTTATTTTATTCTAAACATTAATCCTTGTCCAGTAAATATTGTTGTGGACAACATGTAGTCAAAAAGGTTGACAAACAATATTCCAGAGATTAATCATTTTTAATGACCACTAAAATAATGATTAATGCAAAATTGACTGCTTTTAACTATTGTTTTATTTCTGCTTATTGATTTACTTATTGTTGTCTAATCATTTAAGTGAATCATTAGACAACAATCAACACATTATTAACAAATGTATTATTATTATTATTTAACAACAATTGACACTTCTTGTAATCATTATTAACAATAATGACAAATGTAATTGTGTAAAATTAATTTTTGGATGATTTTATCATATATCAGTACACCCAATAGTTTTACTTATTTTTATTTAAGCATTAACTGAATACAGAACATAGATTGCAGAACACAAAAAAAGCCAAGGGGGAAATCCAAGGGTTCACACATTGCCAGACATAACACAATCCCATAAACAAACAAATAAAAGTACACCCAATATTAAGGGACTGATAGCCGATTTAGTAGAAATATGACAGTATTTACTAACGGGAAAAAGCTCAATTAACACTTAAAAAGCAGAGGTGAGAGAAGTGTATCTGAACATGCTCATAATACACACACAGGGGACATGTTTCTATGACAAAAGCTTTAACAAGCTTTTTAGCAATGAAGTTTAGCAATGCTGCCACAGAAATTCGCGTTTAACAGACTGGCAAGCTCTGCTACGTTTAATGTGCATATTTTATTTAATTACAAATTAGACCATAAACTTGCGTCCAAATACAAAACTCACGCACGCCAACGCGAAGTCATACAGCTAACGTTAGTTAGCAGTGCCTACCTTTTGACATTCACATCAAAACATGCGCGACCGCGACACTGTCAGGCTAAATCACCAAAACACAAAGCTGACGTACTTCATTTTATTTCTCTGTATATCTCCAAATGCAGTTCAGAAAGACAGAGTTTGAAGATAAGAGCTAAAACAGGCTCTTTCAACTGTCCACCTCGCTGCACAGAAGTTCGTTAGCTACTGTAACTAGGTGACGTCATTTCCGCAAATAGTGTCGCGCCGCAAAGACAGGGCAGTCTGCTGTGTGTATTTTCACTTCAGTTCTTTTGTTCTTCTCTGCCTAATTAATACTGGTCTGATATATTGCAATGCGAGCAAATTATTTATTATTATTTTTAAGGTTTTCATGTTTTTTTGCACTGCTATTTTGTTACAACTAACGAAGCTGTGATAGATGTGAAATGCATCAACTCCCATATAATGTTGAATAAAAGAAACAGTTGTGTTGACTGTTGATTCATTTTTTAAAATTTATTTATTTAGGAAACCTGTAATGTTTTTTTCGGGATTCTTTGATGAATAGCAAGTTCACTACTGTTCAAAAGTTTGGGTTGTGTAATTATTTTCATTCTTTTATGAGAAAGAAATTAATACTTTTATTAATCAGCAAGGATGTGTTAAATTGATACAAAATTGATAGTGAAGACATATTGTTAGAAAATATTTATATTTTTAATTTCTATTTTGAATAAATGCCGTTCTTTTTAACCTTTTATTAAAATAATCCAGAAAAAAAGAATCACAGGTTCCAAAAAAAAAATATTAAGAGGCACAACTGTTTCCAACATTGATGTGACACTGAAGAGTGGAGTCATGGCTGATGACCCCAGTTTGAAAACCCTTGCCATAGATGTCCCATGTATGTATGAATGAATGAATAACAAATGCCTTAACAACATTATTACATTAATATCAATACATTAAAAAGAAGAGAACGTTAAGAATATTTAAATGCTATTGAATGCAAGTCAATTTAAATCTTTAATGTCTAATTTTTAGTGTCTAAATATTGTTTTGGACTAAATTGCATGTGATGCATTCATTTATTTGTTTATGTCAGTGACTCTAACCATCTCTAACCAGGTGAGCTGCATTTTTATAATTTTCTTTGTAAGATCACTCAAGCTGTTAAACAAGCATTAACTGTGACCACTGTACATGTTTATTGCTGCTGCTGCCAACTCATTCCTAAAGGCTGGCATTCTGCTAGATTGTGGGTGTGCAGCACATAACATTCCCTCAAAGCCTCTTTCATGTTTGCTTGGCACAAGTGGCATGGCAGAACCATCATCCAGACTTGTAAATCCACCATCCCTATTCAGATGCCACCCTCTGCTTCTAAAATAAATGTATAATAAGCTATTGTAAAATAGGCTATTTGCACTTGTACATGACCAAGTAGCTAAAGGTCAACGCAGAGCTGTGCAATAGCATTTTATATTTATTAACATAAATAAATTCATCATAAAACCATTTTTTTAACCTTTTCAGTTTTGTTTAACGTAATTTGTGACAGATAATTCTGCAGCAAAGAACAGAGTGTTAACATAATTTGAGAAGTCAGTAGATGCAAAATAACCATAAACTCATAAGCATGAAGGAAGAAACAACAACACAATCCAACAAAAACATTAGTGTAATTTGTCTTTTACCAACCCATTTCAACTTCAAATTACCAGTTCGATTTTTTTTTTCTCAAGTAAGACAAGTACAATTTTCGGAAGACCATAATGTAAACTGTTTCTTTATTAAATCTACTTATTAAAGCAGAGTATCTCAGATGAACAAAGTGCGTACGTGTGGAACTGCACAGCTTGTTCGCAAACTAGGAGGATTGATGCAAAGTCACGTGATAATGACCGCCCATTCTTGATCATGATTGGTCGGTATCAAAGAACCACGTGGTCTAAACAGCATTTGTACTTCTGCTTTTCCATTGTACTACATGGGTCTGTGTGCTTGTTTGATTGCAGAACACTTCTGATCAACAGCGGAGTGACTGTGTCACGCCCAGTTAAACTTTTATACGGCATATTCTTTGTGAAATTATACAGACATCAGCTATGTCTTTGCTTGAGACAGAGTCGGTGAGTCAATTTAATTAATTGATACTATTATGGGCATGAAAAGAAAGCATGATGTTTAACGAAGTACGTTAGTAAAAAAAAAAAAAGTTTCAAGCATTTAAAAAACGAAAGTCATTATATTAGTCAATTTTAAAACTCAGAACGCGCTTTACAACTTTTATTAGTAAACGGTAAGTCTTAAGGTTCAAATGTTGTTTCTGTTTCATTACATATCCATTCAGTGAAGGAAGAAACAACACCACAATCCAACAAAAACATTAGTGTAATTTGTCTTTTACCAACCCATTTCAACTTCAAATTACCAGTTCGATTTTTTTTTTCTCAAGTAAGACAAGTACAATTTTCGGAAGACCATAATGTAAACTGTTTCTTTATTAAATCTACTTATTAAAGCAGAGTATCTCAGATGAACAAAGTGCGTACGTGTGGAACTGCACAGCTTGTTCGCAAACTAGGAGGATTGATGCAAAGTCACGTGATAATGACCGCCCATTCTTGATCATGATTGGTCGGTATCAAAGAACCACGTGGTCTAAACAGCATTTGTACTTCTGCTTTTCCATTGTACTACATGGGTCTGTGTGCTTGTTTGATTGCAGAACACTTCTGATCAACAGCGGAGTGACTGTGTCACGCCCAGTTAAACTTTTATACGGCATATTCTTTGTGAAATTATACAGACATCAGCTATGTTTTTGCTTGAGACAGAGTCGGTGAGTCAATTTAATTAATTGATACTATTATGGGCATGAAAAGAAAGCATGATGTTTAACGAAGTACGTTAGTAAAAAAAAAATGTTTCAAGCATTTAAAAAACGAAAGTCATTATATTAGTCAATTTTAAAACTCAGAACGCGCTTTACAACTTTTATTAGAAAACGGTAAGTCTTAAGGTTCAAATGTTGTTTCTGTTTCATTACATATCCATTCAGCTGGACTGCATGAGTAACCTTTTTGAAAACGGATTTGCGGTGAATGGAGGTTTGAATGGTTCCGGACAATCTCCTGCGCATCTCGCGGCATGCGGAGGGCAGGCTTTCTGCTTGCTTTGGCTGCTGCAAACCGGTGCTGATGCAGACCAGCAGGTACAAAGTCTTAAAACCTTCCCCTATTTAAATCAGCAGTAGTTACTTAGGTTTGTGTTGATGATCATGGTATTCCTGTAAGTTAATCACTATGTCCAGCCTTTTCGCATTTGATGTTTCAATTTTTTATGCGATTTTCTTAAGGACGCGAGTGGAGAGACACCCATGCATAAAGCAGCCAGAGCGGGCAGTTTGGAGTGCACCAGTGTGCTGATGGCAAGTGATGCACATTTCGAGTAAGTGTGTCGTTTCATAGTTCCTGTTTCAAGCATTTGTTTGACAGAGAGAAACGGCTAAATATTCACAATATTTGCATATTTAGAAACTAAAATTGTAGTGCCATTCTTGGTATGCAGTACATGTACATTTATTGTCCCAATCATGTTATAATCTTATTTGTTTGGAAATCATATTTTTATTTTCTTTCATCACAGTAGCCCATCACATGTTCGTGAACATAGGAGTTAACATTAAATAGTTTAACACTTTATCTTCACTTTTTTTTTTCCTCCCCTTGAGAATATTGTTTTCTTTGGTTATCGTTTTAAAGATTTTTCATATGCTCAATATCACTTTTTTGGTATTCTATCATTTTTTTATATATATTATCTTTGGTGTCGCTTCAACAGTGTATTCAGTAACATATAAGTTGGTTTGTCTCACTTTAAAACATTCATAGAAACTTATGAATTACAATAACAATATAATATTAATATTTTTATTATATGTATAAAATGTTAATTTTAAAAGCTATCAAAATGTGTCAAATCAAACGACATTAAAATATGTTTTATGTTTAGATGTAAAATATTATTTTTTATTTACACTACCATTCATAAGTTTAAGGTCATTAAGATTTTTCTAATGTTTTTAAAAGTAGTCTCTTATGCTCACCAAGGCTGTGAAATATGCTTACATTTGTGATTACAATCAGTGTTGAAAACCGTTGTGCTGCTTAATATTTTAGGGAAACCGTGATACATTTTCAGATTCTTATTCCTATTTTGTGTGACAGTCTTTAACGCGACGTTTGTTGAATAAAAGTATACATTTCCTTCAAAAGAAAAAAAAATCATACTTTTAATATCTAAATCAGCTTGACACCGCTCTCTTAAATAAAGGTTCTTTATTGGCAACAATGATCAATGATTCCACAAAGAACCTTTACCATCCATGGAACCTTTTCATTCCACAAAAGGTTCTTTACACTGGAAAAAGGTTCTTTAGATTATTAAAATGTTCCAATTTCTTTACTGAAAAATGCCTATCTTTAGCTGTTAATTTTATTACCATTGTTTATATAATCAATCCAAAGGCACAGTTAATAAAATTCTTGAGATTAGATGGACATACATAGGCATATTAATTTTCAAAAGAGCTCAAACATAAGAGGAATGCCCTTGTTTACCTGTTAAAGCAAACATCATCCTCAACAACTATAACCATCTTATGAATATAAACACTTCTCTAATTAACTATTCCATTTTCCACTCAGCATTTGCAACAACGGTGGACAGACAGCTGAAGATATTGCATGGTCTTGTGGGTTTGAGGAGTGCGGGAGGTTTTTGAACATGCATCGCAGAACACGAGACTTAAAGAACGCTTCTTTATCATCCCTCACTGAACGGCACATACTGAACAGCACTCTCGCAGGACAGAAGAGAGGCTGTGCACGCTCCAGCGCTCAAGACGGAAAGAAAGCACGGGACTGGTGATGAATGTTCTCAGAGAGAGAGAGAATTTGAAGTAACATATAGGCTTGTTTAACCATTACTGGTTTTAAAAGCTATCAAAATGTGTCAAATCAAACGACATTAAAATATGTTTTATGTTTAGATGTAAAATATTATTTTTATTTACACTACCATTCATAAGTTTAAGGTCATTAAGATTTTTCTAATGTTTTTAAAAGTAGTCTCTTATGCTCACCAAGGCTGTGAAATATGATTACATTTATGATTACAATCAGTGTTGAAAACCGTTGTGCTGCTTAATATTTTAGGGAAACCGTGATACATTTTCAGATTCTTATTCCTATTTTGTGTGACAGTCTTTAACGCGACGTTTGTTGAATAAAAGTATACATTTCCTTCAAAAGAAAAAAAAATCATACTTTTAATATCTAAATCAGCTTGACACCGCTCTCTTAAATAAAGGTTCTTTATTGGCAACAATGATCAATGATTCCACAAAGAACCTTTACCATCCATGGAACCTTTTCATTCCACAAAAGGTTCTTTACACTGGAAAAAGGTTCTTTAGATTATTAAAATGTTCCAATTTCTTTACTGAAAAATGCCTATCTTTAGCTGTTAATTTTATTACCATTGTTTATATAATCAATCCAAAGGCACAGTTAATAAAATTCTTGAGATTAGATGGACATACATAGGCATATTAATTTTCAAAAGAGCTCAAACATAAGAGGAATGCCCTTGTTTACCTGTTAAAGCAAACATCATCCTCAACAACTATAACCATCTTATGAATATAAACACTTCTCTAATTAACTATTCCATTTTCCACTCAGCATTTGCAACAACGGTGGACAGACAGCCGAAGATATTGCATGGTCTTGTGGGTTTGAGGAGTGCGGGAGGTTTTTGAACATGCATCGCAGAACACAAGACTTAAAGAATGCTTCTTTATCATCCCTCACTGAAAGGCACATACTGAACAGCACTCTCGCAGGACAGAAGAGAGGCTGTGCACGCTCCAGCGCTCAAGACGGAAAGAAAGCACGGGACTGGTGATGAATGTTCTCAGAGAGAGAGAGAATTTGAAGTAACATATAGGCTTGTTTAACCATTACTGGTGTGAATGGTAAACAGAAGTATCATTATGTCATCAAGAGTCTGAATTACCGGTGGACATTTGGTATTGAGCCTATACTGTAGCTTCAGCAGTCAAGATAAATTGACACCGTTCTGGGGTCAGTGATTTGGAGTCTTAAGTACAATAGTAATGACTGACACTAGTACTCCAGAACGGTTCAGAGCCATGCTCCATACATATACCTGCCAACACAGAGCAGACAGGAATCAAGGAAAAAGCAGAGAATTTTCTTTGGGGGAGAGGGGGAGACTTGTGGGTTTCACTGGAAAAGTGCAACATTTAACTTGGATCACATGTGTGTTGTGAAGCAATCATATAAAAACCCTGATGGCACTGAAATGCTTTCAGAGTTTTATGACAGTGTATAAATATGTGGCTGCAATGAGCAAAAGAGAAGAGAGCTGACTTGCTGCCAAGCTTGGCTAATCAAGACGTTCTTAATAAGGCAAGATTAGTTAAGCAGAGGTTCAGGTCTCCCCAAAGGTCTCTGAGAAAAGTCAGAGACCCTCACAAAGTCAGAGACTTTGCAATAGTCAATGAATAAGGAAACATTTGCCGTTTTAGGAAGATATTTTAGCTGCTGTTTCTTTTTATTGATTTGCAGGAAGCCTTATCTTGTGTAGACGGTTCAAAGATATCTTGTGAATTTAATGTATGATGAACTGGTAAAAGTCTCGAGGATATGTCGTCATTAATATCATCCGTTTGCAGCCTGGCTGAAAATCATGTGAGATGTTTCTGAAATGAATGTAACCTTTAGCGTGACTGAAAACGGATGTTACAATAGGCATGGACATTTAAAACATTGTAAGGACAATGAGTAATAAATCACTTTTTTGTGACATGTCGGTTTGCATTTCAACATGAGACTTCCTGTGTATCCATGAACTTAGAGTATGAATAAAAGTGGATACGTGTCATGCACGTGACTCAGATGGTCTTGGGTCTCTGGGGAAGGCAGAGGTTGTAATAAGCATTTTGATCCCAGAACTCTGGCCCCTTCCATCCACACCAGCCCTGAAAAATATACAAACATCATTAACAAATGAGTGATGTTTTAAACCATGTTACACTTTAAATCCCATGTGTGTCTGGGTATAATGAAATAACTTAAAAGATCATTGTTGTAGTAGTTTGTTTATTATTAAAGTAGCTTGTTATCATTAAGACAAAATAGAACCATTTTATATTTATTTATTTTTAATTAAAATGAAAAGGTCTGACTAGAATAGTGTTGTCAAATGTACTTTGTCAGTGATGGTCTGCAGGTCCTCTCCACCAGTATAGTGAGGGTCCAAGATAAGAAAGCGTATTTGTCCAGTGTTCTCACTCCATGCTACGCCTAAAATGGTGTGTGCAAGTACTCCGCCACCTGGTGAGAAAAATATTGGCTTTATTTTTCAATTACCATTTACATCTAAAAATAGCAAAACAAAAAAATGCATAAAAAACAAGCTACCTATACTACAAAAGTATGAGGTTGTTATTGAAATAAGTCTTTCATGCTCAACAAGGTTACATTTATAAAAAATACAGTGAAAGCAGAAATACTGTGAAATATTTTCCATTAATATATTTTAAAATGTCATTTATTCTTGTGATGGCAAAGCTGATTTTTCAGCAGTCATTACTCCCATCTTCAGTGTCACATGATCTTTCTAATATGTTGAATTTGGTGACCAACAACCACTGCTTATTACAATGTTGAAAACATTTTTTTTTTTCAGTATTTCTTGAGAAAATAATAGAAAAGTTAGAAAAGAACAGCAAACCTCAAAGTTTTGAACAGCAGTGTATAAGATACAAGTACGTTAGATCAGATGTCGATTATGATCTTTTTTTTGGGGGGGGGAAGGTGGGGGAGAACCTTGCTCCTATCCAATCACAAGTTGTAGGAAGGCGCTAAACAATGTTATCGCACCAATCATGACAGGAGTTCCTTCGGTCTGAAAGTGGTTGGCCAGCTCTCTGCCCTTGGTTGTCAGCTCTGATCCCTGACTTTAACAGAAAGACAATCATTTTTATAATTGAAACCATTCAGAAACTTTTATTGTAAATCTATGTTAGCATAGGCTTGCATCAGCTTTAGTTCAACTTAAAGCTGGAATACCCTACAGGGCTTGCCTAGATTTTTGCCCTGATATCTGAATTGGAGCAAATGTGTCGGAGTTGACAGATTTCACAGATTCTCAGCTTAGGCATGCAGTCAAGGATATCAAATATGTTTCATATTTTGAGCTCATTTTAGACCACATATTTTGTGTGTGCCTGGTGCTGTGTGATCCTTGTTTCGTGTATGATGCCCAGAGTTGTAATAATTTACAAAGAAGGCAAGTGAATGATGCCTAGTGTTTTAAAATGTGTTTAAAATATGAGTAGTGTATTCCAGCCTTTAACCAAAATTCATAGCCTATTGTGTGCAGTGGTATATGGAAGAAAAAATAGTTCAGTTTTTCTGAATCTACTCCAGTATGATCTGTTGTGACCATTAAAGAGGAAAAACGTATTACCACCCTAAACAATAAACAAACACATTAAACACACTTTGTATACCTGACAAACATGATCTTTGAGGTGACCCCCAGCAGCTGGTTAAGGACAGCCTGAACTTCGATGGAGCCAATCCACTGACGTGAACCCACAAATCGTGGCTCTTTATCCCCAACATCCACAAGAGCCTGAAAAAGTAACAAATGTTCCTCTTAAATACATATAACAAGAAAGCACATCACATTGAGTGACAATTTTGTTTACCTGCTGGATCTGCGTGTGTGTGGGCACAGCTGTCTCCACATATCCTTGCTGCTGAAACCAGGAGCAGATAGTCTGAAGGGAACGATATGCACATCCCCAGCCATCATCATCCACACGATCCTGCATGTAGTGATGATAACTGTACACACCCTGCACCAGATACAGCTAGAGAGAGAAAAACAAGACAAAGACAAGAGTGTTAATGGTTAAACTTTACTTTTGGCATCAAGAGATTTTGCTCTTTAAAAAGTGCTCATGAACATATTAAACCACCTTTAAAATGGGTAGTTCACCCATAAATGAAAATGTTGCCATCATTTGCATAAAATTTTCTTTGGCATTTATCATCAATTATGTCATTCTTTAAAGTAACAAGCCAAATGTGCCATTGGGAAGATCTGATTCTGATCTGTTTCTCATTTAAAACTATCATTTAACTTTAAAAGTTTTTGACCATAATTAAAAAAAAAGTAGTATGGAACATTATGTATACTGGCGTATTTTTTGTAGCTTGAACTGTCTCTGTATAAAAAAAAAGAGCAGTGTGAACTTTTTTTTATATTATCCTTTTGCGTTCTACAGATAAAAAAATAAGAAATAAATAGTAACAATAAGATAACAGATTTGGAACAACTGAATTTCATTTGTGGGTGAACTATTCCATTAAAGCACAGTCTCACCTTAGCATCCTCAATGTTGGGTGGGTTCAGGTGTATGTGGGGATTGCGGAGGTAACCGTCTTTATAGGCTGCATCAGGGAAATGAAAGGCATTGGCACGTCTCAGGTATGGCCTGTCACTTGGCAACTTAAACCTATTGTGCAGATCCTATACACAAAGGAAGTTTACCTGGTTTAGAGAGCACTCATGTCACTAATAAATAGCAATTCTTAGGATTAAGATATTGTTCAAAAGTCTGAGGTCAGCAAGTTTATTTTTTTTAATAGATGGGTCCAGGCCTCTTATGCTCACCAAGGCTGCATTTTTTAAAACAAAAATACAGGTAAAAACAGTAATAAAGTGAAAAATTATTACGACTTAAAGTAAATGTTTTCTTTTTTAGGAAAGTTTAGAATGTATTTTATTCCTGTGATGACAAAGCTGAATTTTCAGCAGCCATGACTTCAGTGTCACAAGATCCTTCAGAAATCATACTAATATGGTGATTTGGTGCTCAAGAAACATTATTATTATTGTTATCAACGCTGAAAACAGTTGTGCTGTTTAATATTTTTGTGAAAACTGTATTACATTTTTTCAGGGTTCTTTGATGAACAGAAAGTACAAAAAATGTATTACTTTATTATTATTAAAATATATTTTTATATTTTAATTTTATGCATACTTGCTAAATACAAACTATATATATATATATATATATTTTTTTTTTAAATTATTATTATTATTGTTTTTTTTTTATTGTATTGATTTTTTGATATACCACTGAAACGTTTGCAATATTATAAGCTAAATAAATAGACTCACTGGCACATTCTAATTCTATGCGGGAGAGAGGGGTGCTCATAGCCAGATATGAGGCATGTAGCCCCAGTAGCAGACCAAGGTTTCTCTCAGCATCTATAAGAGGTGAGGACAGACTGCTCAGGCCAGGAGTTGTCACCATTTCCTGGTTGGGCTGGAGAAAGACAGCCAAAAAAAGAAGAAACATGAAGTCCAAACATTTTGAGAATAAAGCAGTTAGAATCTATAATACAAAGACACACAGACCTCCATGTATTGTCCCACACAGAAAGCTTGCATGAACTCCCTGGTGTCTTCAACCTGGAGAGCGGCCTCTAAAGCTACTACAGGGTCTTCTCCAACAAACTGGGCTGTGAGGGGAAACAGATGTCAATAAACTTTTTATTTGAAAACAAAGTAAAAAAAAAAAAAGATTCATGGCAGTTGTTTTGAGTTTATATCCCGACCACTATAGCAGTCTTTATCTCTGAACTTAAACATTGACAGGAAATACTAGCATAAGGGCACGGCACTAATGTTAGCATTAATATAGTTCGTTGCTAGTAATGGAGGACGAAAGAATTGTTCCAGCTCCCGTTTCGGCGTACAAAGCTGAAGTGTGGCATCATTTGGGTGAAATCCAAGTTCAAAGGTTCTGAGAATGTTCAACATCTGTATTTATTATATTGTTTTACATTTGTTTTGTTTTCTTTAGGAGTCCTGCAAGCACTTTATTTTTCATTGATATTAAGCAGATGTTATTCTTTTGTTCAGATCAAAATGTTATGGCATTGTATGTTTTGTAAACTTAACTGTGAACTTTTAAAGCAGGGTCTAAAAATATATGGCCTTTCTATAAAATACATTTTATACATAGGCCTATTATACATTTAACTAAAGAATCCTGCAATCACTTTAATTTTTCCCCCTTTACTCGTACTGCACAAAAAGTGGTTTAGTACCGTTGAATGTTACTGAGACTGACTGCAAATGCAGATCCCACTGTGTTCTGGTTAAATAATTTATAATAATTTATTTATTTCTAAGGTTTGCATATATATGGTGGTGTGTTCTTAATGACAGCTTTCCTAAAATTATATCCTATTTCTAAAATAAGAAATATCCCAATATATCACCTTGCTTACAGTATCGCAATGTATCGCAACCCCTGTATCGTGATACATATCGTATCGCCAGATTCTTGCCAATACACAGCCCTAGTAAGACATTGATTAGCTGGTTCAGGTGTGTGTTATTAGGGTTGTATCTAAACTCTGCAGGACACCGGCCCTCCAGCACTGAGTTTGAACACCCCTGTGCTAAACCTTTGAACGTAGTACATGTGCTCATGTCTTGCCTCTCTGGCATCCTGTAGCTGGCTGTCTGGCACTCCTGCAGGGTAGATTACAGTAGTGAACCCAGCTGGTTCAGGCAGTTGAAAGTGAAATGGCTGTGGCACCAGGAAAGAGGAGCCCTTCCTGTATCGTAGCACCACCTCTTCCATGTCTGCCAACTGCTTATTTAATGCCTCCACCAGCCCTGTACACACACTGAACAATCACACACACACACACACATACACTAACAATGATTCTGCTGAACTTCACAACTCTGAAATTAGCATTAAAATCATAGCAGTAAAAACACTTCCTTACAAACCTTATGATTTTAAGAGAACCTGAGCAAAAAAATAAATAAAAATGCACTCACGTTGCCATGCTCTCATCAGTGGTCACAGACAGAACACAGTCTAAAGGCAGTGGCATCTTCACACAATGCTGCTGTGTGCTCACTCTGATGAGACTAGGAGCTTCATTCCCAGCAGGTTCTGTGACCTCAAACAACAGCTTCATATTCACTACAGTCTAGATAAAGATGGACAGCAGAGAGTTACTGTTAGAGTGACTGTTAACGGTTACTGCCTTTCAAATACTCTAGAGAAAGACTCTCACAGGTCCAGATTTTTTCTTATCTTTCTTTTTTGATGACTTCTTGGTCCCACTATCATCTAACCTGTGAACAGCAACAAGTATTATACTTTGTTAACATCCTTACTGTGCATACAGTATAATACTCTACATTTACCATATACAAACATTAAAGATATGAAAGGCGTAAGAATACATACTCAATATACTGCAGAATATCTCCACATGATGATGCTTCTGTCAAGCTTTCCACGTTTGACTGGAAACCAGTGTTAGGCCATATTAATACTGGACTGTTACAGACAGTTAAAACAATATTTTTGGATGATACTTTGGATTGGAGACCCTGGAAACTTTTTGATATCGTGCCTTGACTTTGTGCACCTGCAAGAAGGGAACACAGAGACTCTTTTCTCCTTTCATAACCAGCATATATGCTTTCATAAAAGAAAGTTAATTAAAAAAATTCGAAGTTTTACAAATCAAGCTCATTCTTTTATAATTTGAGCTTTACCATTTGGGTTGTCAAGCTGGCAAGCAAACTCCAAGATTCCTTTCAATCGAAATATAATGTCGCACTCTTCTGAATGAACCTGGGGAAATCAAAACACACATCATTAACTACATAAGATTAACATAATTGAACATATAGTTCTTGCTGTTCGTTACAGTAAGTAATTCTCTCTGAAGCATGTGTTGACAAAATGCTAGTTCATACTATATTAACATTGTATGCAACTATGGTTTCACGAAAAAGGCGTTTTGTTTTCAACAACAGTTTGTTTGAAAATAGCTTATTACCATTTTAATTCCCTCGATCAATGATCAAATTCAGCTGCTGTCACCAGGAGGCTGACATATTTGATGACGTATCATACATAACACGTCCGCATCTTCCTCGCGTAAGTTGATTTCGTGTCACAGGGAAAGTACAGTCTCTTACTGCCCCCTGCTGACCTACATGTGACTGTAAATGATCCAAATACAGGACCATGACAAAAAAATCTACTGTAGCCTACTGTACTACTTTGCCATTTTAGAAATTGATTGTAAGTAAAGAAAATACAGAATTATTATTTGTTTTTCATAACAAGTAATTTTGCTTGGGAATGTTTATTTATTTCATTTTTTTTTACTTCAACAGTAAAAAGAAACAATAGTTGTGGGAGAGAGAGAATAATGGCAAAAACAGTTATGAAACCATGACAATAATATTGAATATTTAATGACAGTATATTGTTAATGAAGTGTTTATCAGATCAGATTATTTTAGAAGGAATAATAATGATACAAAATAAAATAACAATTTAATACAATTTAAAATAACAAAAAGCAGCCTCTTTACTCTTACACTTTTACTGGCTATTATTTCAAGTTAACATATGAATTCTCTGTTTCAGGAACCATTCAGTTCTCTGATATTTTTTCCAGGTCTTTGTATTTCCTCGTTCTTCATGGATCTAAGTCTTCAAATTGAACCTTTATCTGCTATGTTGTGTCTTCTCCTATCATTCAAAAATAAAGTCAACTTGTAAGTAGTAAACAATCGAAATTTTCATCAATTTTACTGTTTGTTTCAACTAGTCTTCTTACCTGGATGCTGAACTGGTGGGCTTTACTGTGGTGGACTGTAAAGCAAGGCTCTCAGGGGTTTCCCTGAGACAGGCAGCTTTGTTGTTTTCTTTCAGCTGCATTGAGATGATGTTAGTAAGGCTGATATATTCCTTATGGAGCCTCTTTACTTCCTGCCGCAGTAGATTCCTCTCAGTCTGCACAGTGAGCAGGCAGCACTCTAGTTCATCCAGCTCCTCCTGAACTCTCTCTGCTCTACTTTCAGCATCTTTTATGACCTGACCGCTGTGGTCGAGTCTCTCTCTTAGAGTCTGGTTTTCCTGTTGTAGCGGAGTTAGGATCTTCCTCTCTTCGGTTATTTCTGCATCCTGTTTCATTCCATGAGATTTCCTGACTGGTTCTGTTAAGTTATTTACCCTCTCTTGGAGCACAAAGACTGTTTCTCTAAGTTGCTGCTTCTCCTGGTGTTCACGGCATGGGAGTCTCTCCAGATCTTCAGACTGAGGTCTGTCCTTCTTTAAGACCTCTGTAATTCTTTGCCTCATTTGCTGGTTTTTAATGAGAAGTTGTTTGTTCTTCGTCTCCAGGTCTTTGTTGATGTTTTTAAACTCTTTAAACCTCTTCACAAATCTCTGCAGCTCTGTTTTGCATTCTCTTGAATAGGTCTCCATCTTTTTAAGCTTCTTCTTAACTTCTAGGTTTTCCTTCTCTAACCGTGTGCACTTTTCTAAATACGCCTCAAATGGACACTTACGGGTAGCACAGCTTGCTTCTTGTTCTTTCTTATTCAAGCTATCCTGCTTAAGAAGCACAGTGCCTTTAAGGTTTGTGGTTGCTTGAGACTTGCTGTCCATAGCATGGGCTCCTCCTGCTCTTGTTTGCATGGAAGGGTTAGAATTTAACCCACATGGTGACCTACCGTCTGAAAATCTGGACTTCTCCATGATATCCATGGCTTTAAGAGATGTGTGTCCTTTATCAGGTCTATGTAGAGCTATTTGCTTTTGCCTTCACCCTGTTCACTGATACAAGAAACTTATTTCCTTTTGTGTCTGATTCCTGAAAAGGATAACCTTATTTACCTCAATTTAGAATAGCAACCATTTGAACCGATTTTAATTACTAAAAACAAGAAATATATATACAATAACATTAACTGTGTAAACCAACCAACAAACAACTTGATTCAACTGAGTAAAATTAATTTAAGGTCCGTTCACAGTTCACAGCAACAATACAAATAGCCTAAAGATAACTAACCATAACGTTATTAGTTTATAACCAAGGTTTTATTTAATATCTATAAATATCTATAATATAATAAAATGAATAATATTAACAGAGCAGGAGTAAATATACATTTATAACCTATTACCTATTACTTAGGCTAATTATTACTTACGTAGCTAACATTATGCAAGATGCCGACTCACTTTATTAGGCTATACCATTTATTACCTAATAATTTGTAATATTCGCCTCATTAGGTTATCCTGATTCTATCTGTGGGTGAAAAAATACATTACCGCGAAGTGGAAGACACTTTTATAATTCGCTTAGGTTTCTTGCTTCGACTCACATTTAGGCCTACATTAATTTGAGTGTATCTATGGTAACATGCTAGTCTCCTCTCGTGCGGTTCGCGTCACTGCAGTAGCCTACGTCGCCTCGTGACCTTTTGTTTTTATTATTATTTTTTTAAATCAATTGAAGATATTAGCCGCGCGTTAGTTCAATATTGTTTAATTTCCTGTATGACCAAAGGGTAATTTTGACCATCGGTCGATTTGAGTATACAAATTGTTAGGTTCAAAACTTACATGATCCCTGTAGCTAGCTATAGATCCTGCACCTGCTGATCGATTAATTAATATACAGCATGCAGTCTATTGCAAATACAGGTGCATCTCAATAAATAGAATGTCGTGGAAAAGTTCATTTATTTCAGTAATTAAACTCAAATTGTGAAACTCGTGTATTAAATAAATTCAATGCACACAGACTGAAGTAGTTTAAGTCTTTGGTTCTTTTAATTGTGATGATTTTGGCTCACATTTAACAAAAACCCACCAATTCACTATCTCAACAAATTAGAACATGGTGACATGCCAATCAGCTAATCAAAACACCTGCAAAGGTTTCCTGAGCCCTCAAAATGGTCTCTCAGTTTGGTTCACCAGGCTACACAATCATGGGGAAGACTGCAGATCTGACAGTTGTCCAGAAGACAAACATTGACACCCTTCACAAGGAGGGTAACACACATAATTGGATGTCATCAAATCCATCAAAAAAAATAAATAAATCAAACAACAATAGTAGATAATAGGAATTTGTTGGGTATTTGTTCAGAATTATCAAAGACACAACAGTTTACAAACTACATATTAGAATTCTTAGTTTTAATGTTGAACTGACTGATTAAAAAAAAGAAACATACTGCTAAATGTCAGAATGCACATTTAATTATCACAAAATTCATGTTTTTGTCCTAATTTTCAGTCTGTGTGCATTGAATTTATTTAATACACGAGTTTCACAATTTGAGTTGAATTACTGAAATAAATGAACTTTTCCACGACATTCTAATTTATTGAGATGCACCTGTATTTTTGTTATAACAGCAATTTTTCAGCTTCTGCAACATCCATGTCCAAGTTGCCTGTAAGAGGCAACAGTGAATAAGTATACAGAAATGAAGGGCATGATTGAGGTAAATGTGATAGATGGAGAAAACAGAATGAATAAAAATAAGGTAAATTTCACTTGGGTGAAAATGTTTTTTTTTTTTCAAGCTTAAAAAATATATTATTTGTTGGTATTGATGATACATATATTTGGCTATACACTGTATACCATGGCAGGACACTACATCACTCCAGGTGGCAGTACAATTCCAAAGCAGGCTTTTCTTTACAAGTAATGACAGATGAAGAACAAAGAAGGAACTCAGAATTGAAATTAATAAATGCTTACTTGTAACTCTTGACATATAGCCTATTGAATCAGCAAATTCTTCCTGTGACCTGCAGGCACATCAAACATGACGGCAGTGATGTAAAGACAAAAAAACACTTGTTCTTGAGTCTTGTTGGACATTATGTTTCATGTGTCCGGAAAATGCTCCCCTTTTCTGCTCAAACACACCTGATAAGAGATATTATGATTCTCCAAAAACAAAACCTTTATTCATACAAACATATTTCAGTTAACACATCCTATTCCTATAAAGTGCAAAATACTGCATCCCAGCACACATGACACAACAATGCACTATCCATAAATGTGTCTTTCAGTATCTGGTTGACATGATTGTGCATGAATTGTGGTAAAACTTTATGCCTGTGGTTAAAACAAGATGTTCATGCACTGAGTAGCTGACTTGTAGTTTGTGCCCTCATGTAATCAAAAGAACAATGAGAAGGTCAAAGGTCTGGACTCTCAGGAGGTTTTGCCCTGGCATGAGCGTGGGTTTCACAGTATAGCTCATCATCTATAAAGTAATATCCTTTCTGCTTTAGGTTTTCTTCACATTCAACGCACACAAAACAGTCCGGATGACGAAACTTATCCTGAACCTTCACAACCGTCCCACTGAGAAAACAGACAGACAGAACCAATCAGAGATATCCATAGAGATAAATTTAACATTCTTAATTCCTGAATAAAAATGAACTTCCAGTGGCCTGACTTACATTATGCCGTTACCACACTTATCACACATTGGCAGCTTGTGCAAGTTCCCCACAGGAGCAGATGACTTGGTCGTAGGGGCACGGACTTTCCTTGTCACTAATGGACGTGTACCTGCCAATCAAAAAGATCTGAATCCTAGTATCAGTCATGTTTACATTTTGTAAACCTGAATGAATCCAATCCAATTGCTATTTTGGAAGTACTGTTTAGTGTAGGTACCCCACTGCAATTCTAATATTTGTTTACATGTGCACTATCTATTCAGAGGAAACATGTCACCGGATCTGATATGAGCAAAACTGGCATTTTTCTCTTAATGACACCTAAAATAGGTCAGAAATTTTTTTCAAATATTCCAATGTTCATTTAATGTATTATTTAACAATATGTAGTGCACATCCAAGAGTGCATGTTGCATAATGTGTATTAAATATGCAGTCTCTCTTGTTTTTGTGTCTATCTGTTACTGTTAATGTGTGTTTGTCATACCCTCACTGTTGATAAAGCTCTGTAATGCTTTAAAGGATCCCGACTGTCGCGGTTCATGGGGTTCATCCTCATCTTGATCTCTTTGCAGCATCCGATATACTTCGGACTCCTCTATATTGTTAAGTTTCCTGGGACTACACACACACAATTTCAATGTAGGATCCAACTGGATGTTATATTTCAATAAACAATGATAACCGAGCAGTGATTCCTGATCAGCTCAACGCTATAATGACAATACAAAAATACCCATGTTCTGATCATTAACTGATTTGAATTCCGGATCAGGTATGAAGTGTTGAACATTCACCTTTCTGGTTTGCTATGGATGAGGCCCTTGAGTTGCCCTTGTAAGGCGTCCTGGATATTGCCTGAAGAGTAAAGGCCAATAGGGGAGTTGTAGGTTGGGCTCACCACCTGACGTGTTTCATCGATGTTGGCTGCGGCCACAAAGGGTGAAGCCTTTTGATTATGGCCTGTTCCTATTGGTCTGTACTCCTGTCAGGCAAAATTATAAGCATTAGATCCTATCAAACCACATGATACAGATGGACACCATACACAAAATAGGAAGACACATACTTGTCTCTCTGCCTCTAGGTTAATTTTAAATGGATGGCTTTTGTTTTGTTCAGTGACATTTGGTGACCACAGCTTAGTCTCTGGTCTGCAAAACAATAATATGATCACATTTGTAATTATTTCTTGCTGTTCCTATTTGGTCTATTTATAATTATTCGAATACATTCAAAACCCCCAAACTCTTAAAAAGCTAATGCACATCAACTGCCAGCTAATGTACACTACCACCATGTGATGCAGTGTGCAAAATTATGTGCTGCTGTCCAGCAAGTTCTACCCAAGCACATTCATATGACCTCTGACCTCTCTACGGTAAGTGTGATCTGGTAGGTGGCATCCTTGATTAGATTCTGAGCCTCAGAGTGCATCATGTTTTCTGCAGAAACTCCATCTATCGCTAAGATAATGTCTCCAGGAGAGAGGTTGACTCTGGAAGCTATACTTCCTGGTGATATCTGAAAACACAAAAAAGTAGACAACATAAGCAGAAGCCAACTGAAAGTGTTAGCAAATGGCAAAGCTCCAATTCCTGTTCTTAATTATGTTTAATATACAAAAGATGTTTAAAAAGTAAATTATTCTTCTTCTTCTTCCTCTTCTTCTTAAAGTTAACTCTTATTGATAGTTCTTAGTTTTTTAGCAAGCCAAAGGCTTTTTAGAATAGTAATATTTCAAGATGAACACTTACTGAAGCAGCTTAGGTTTACTTGATTATCCATCTTATTATCATCAAGTGATTATCATCAAGAGATTTTGAAATATTATGTTGAAATGTGAATATCAAATATGATTCACAAGACTTTTGAGGAACTCTCAATCATCAGTGTATCATTGCTTTAAACTATCCCTATAATGTGTTTGTGTGTGTGTGTGTGTGTATATGGTATTCCCAGTTTTGGGGTGCCAGAAGTCGCCACAAGGATAGTAATACTAGTAAATTTTGACCTTGTGGGGACATTTTTAGTCCCCATGAGGAATACAACTTATAAATAATACAGAATTAAGTGTTTTGAAAATCTAAAAATGCAGAATGTTTTGTGTGAGGGGTAAGTTTAGGGTGAGGGTAAGGGGACAGAAAATGCAGTTTATACATATAGAAAAACCATTACCTCCATAGAATGTCCCCATGAAACATGGAGACCAGTATGTGTGTGTCTCTCTCTCTCTCTCTCTGTGTGTGTGTGTG